AGACCCAAAGATCAGCTTCTTCTCAGTCTCATTTTTCTACCTTTCCTGTAATTCACCGTGTGCTGCTGTGGCTCGCAGGAGACTAGGACTTACTGCAGAGGTTCTGGTAATGTCCCCTTCCCCTGTTCCCTACACCAGTCCTCATAGGCTGAGAGGCAAGGTCCTAAGTAAGTTTGAGCCTGGCTTGGATATGTAGCATCGCAGCAATATCCTGTCTCAAAATTTGAAAAAAAAAGTTTAAAAAGGGCTTGTATGTAGCTCACTGCAGAGGCCCTGGGTTCAATCCCATTACAAACACACACATACACACACACACACACACACACACAGACACACACACTCCTTTTCTAGGATCAGGCCAGCTGACTTGTGAGAGATCTATTTTGCCTAAAAGATTTTAATCTTTGTTCTCAAAAAGTTAAATGTAAGTTAGGTTTTACCCTCTCCAATGCTAAACAGACAGAGATACATTTAGTTATGTGTCCACTTGTTAGTTGTGCTCAAGAACCTAAGATACTTTTGCCCCATAGAAAGCACTGGAGAGTGCAGCACCCTTGAAACATCTCCCATCATATGATGCTTTGAGAAGAACATTCTTGAAGGACAGTCTCAGCAGCAGGATATCAGCCTAATAGGACCACTGCATCAGGAAACCTCAGCAAGACCCTCCTCCAGCACCTCTTGGTGTCTCCTCTGCTGTCCTCTGGCTGATTTAGATTGGGCATACTGGGTACATGGGAGCAATTTTAGAAGGGAGAGATCTGGCTTGCACTTTGCCCTACCGTATGCCATTTGTTGTTCTGGGGGCTTTGTGTATCTTACTGCGTTGACCCTACCTGTGATAGCTTTGTGAGAGAGGCAGTTATTCTCACTTATTTTGCTTTTTTGGTACTGGGGATTGAACCTAGGGCCTTCATACATCCCCCAGCCCTTTTTTATTTATTTTGAGATAGGGTCTCACTAAGTTGTTATACTACCCAGGCTGGGCTCAAACTCAGAATCCTCCTGCTTCAGCCTCCCAAAGTGCTAGAATTACAGAAGAGTGTAATCATACCGGGGTTTATCCCCAGTTTTCAGGGGAGCACACTGAAGTTGAGAGACATTAAGTGCCTTCTCCAAGCTCACAGATGGTTAATGTCAAGCCAGGTTCAAATGCAGTCCTGGTTAATGCTAGGTAGGTGCTGTACCACTGAGCTATATCCTTGAGCTCCCCACCCCCACCGCATGATGCTAAAGGCCACACTGCAAAAAATGTAAAACACTTCTGACTTTGTGCATGTGTGCTCACATGCATGTGTGTATATATATATACGTGTGTGTGTGTGTGTGTGTACATGCACAAATGCAGTATCGGATATTGAACCCAGAGACACTGTACCACTGAGCCCTTTTTATTTTTTGATAGTCTCATTAAATTGCCCAGGCTGGCCTCGAGAACTTGCAGTTCTGCCTTAGCCTCCACCACATACAGCTATGTGACTTTTGTTTTGTTTTTAAAGAAGCTAGTTTAATATTGTTGTACAAGAGCCATATAATTTTGTTCTTGCTTGTGTTTTGCTTTTCCCCAAAATTTATATTTTCTCCTTTGACCCACTTTATGCCTACTCCCCCAGTAAAAAAAGTCCCTCCAAACTCCAAACATTTGAGAAATTTCTCTTTTATTAGTAGTATCAATATTTCAACATGAGTTGTGTCAATTTGTAGTAAATGATGCTAAAGGAAAAATGTGTGCCACTGGCTGAGCAGGAGCTGCAGAGTGGATAGCAAGGAAAAGCCAGGGTTAGGAGTGTTGCACCCAGTGAGAAAGAACCAACCGGAGATGGATATTAAATCCACACAGGAGTTTATTACTGGCTGGGACCCGAGCCAAGCATCCAACTGGAGCCCGGAGTGGGGGAGATTAACATAATTTATACACCTTTGAGGCCAACAGTTTCTAGTCCCCCCTATGGGATAGAACTAGCAAAGCAAGCAAAAGGTACAGAAGCAGAACGTCCTGCTGTTAGAACATTTGTTAACAATAGTTGATTAATTGTTGTTTCTAAAGAGACTTTCTAAGGGGAGGAGGTTTCTAAGCTTCCTCCTTCTGAGTTCATCTAAAGGGCAGGGAGGTGGGTCAAGCAGCAGTATGGAGTCTGTCTTGCTAACTAGGGTCCTTCAAGGAGAAGAAGCTGCCCAGGGTACTGAGCACCTGGGTCCAGAAGTGGGGAGGGCCTGGGAGGCTGAGGTTTACAGGAAGATACATATGAGGGAGTGGTTTGCCTTCGTGCTCAGGGGACACACCTTTCCAGACATTTGGGCAGCTGTTGGATGGTTAAGGGCCCTGCTAGCTTTTACTCCCACCTTCGGTCTCCCTTTTGCCATCACATTCAGAAAATTTTAGTACCAAGTGCCTTCTGGAGGCACTTCCCACATCAAAAATTTTTTATTTTCTTTTTCTTTTTTTTTGGTACAGGGAATTGAGCCCAGAATCTTTGCACTGAGCTACATCTCTAGCCCTTTTCTACTTTTAACTTTTATCTTAAGGCAGGACCTTCTTAAACTGCTGAATTTCTGATGCTAGGCTTGAACCTGCAGTCCTCCTCCCCCAACTTCCTGGAGTGCTGGGATTATAGGCATGCATCACGAATCCTGGCTACATCTAAAATTTTAAAAAGATCTTTTTGTGTGTGATATATCTGATTCTAGAACCTATTCTAAAGTATTTCATCGTATT